GAGAAGGCTAGGTGTAGATCTTTCCTACCAGAAGATCAGGGGTGTGGCAGAAAGACAGCAGTAAGGAGGAGCCAAGGAGTAGCAGTAGAAAGGCTGCAGAAAGTGTCAGGAGCCCAGAGGAGGGGGAAAAGGAGGTGAGGGGCAGAAAGAGGAGACGAAAGCAGACGACAGAACATTTCAAGACAGAGGGAAAGAATGTGAAAGAAGACAATTTCAGAGAAGAATTTTTTTCGGTCGCTACCCGGATTCGAACCCGGGACCTTAGAATGAGAGGCCAACACTTTAACCTCTAGGCCACGAGAGTCCCCCCTGGCGACCACAGCTGATAGTTCTCTCCCTCTCTCCCTCCCCCTCCCCCCCCCTATTCCCCTCCTCTCTCCCCTCTCTCTCCTTCTCCCTCTCTCTCCCCTCTTCTCTTCTCTCCTTTCCCCCCCCCACTCCTGCCCCTACTCCCCCACCAGTACCCGACCGGACCCAGCTATCCCCCTGCACCAGCTGTAAGTGTTTCTCGTCAAACCTTCATGTTGTGTCCGGTCTTATTCGTCAAACCTTCATGTTGTGTCCGGTCTTATTCGTCAAACCTTCATGTTGTGTCCGGTCTTATTCATCAAACCTTCATGTTGTGTCCGGTCTTATTCATCAAACCTTCTTGTTTTGTCTGGTCTTATTCGTCAAACCCTCTTGTTTTGTCTGGTCTTATTCGTCAAACCTTCATGTCTTATTCGTCAAACCTTCTTGTTTTGTCTGGTCTTATTCGTCAAACCTTCTTGTTTTGTCTGGTCTTATTCGTCAAACCTCCTTGTTATGTCTGGTCTTATTCGTCAAACCTTCTTGTTTTGTCTGGTCTTATTCGTCAAACCTTCTTGTTGTGTCCAGTCTTATTCGCCAAACCTCCTTGTTGTCTACGGTCGTGGGTGGTTGGTGGGTGCTCTGGTGTGGTTTGCTCCTTCTTTCCTTCCAAACATCTGTTGTCCTGATCTCTCCTCCTTCTTTTTTGTGTATGGTTGCTTTCTTGTAACATCTCTAATCTTCAGCACTTATATCTTTACCTTATTGTGTTGCAAGTGCCGTAAAACTCATACTAAAACTAAAGAAAGGCACTTCACGGTCACACACAGGAAGCCAGACTTTGATTCCTGTACAGAGAATTTTTTATTGAGTTTTTCTCTGTCTCTGTCATAGGATGTTGTATCCCCTTCCGCCAAGTTTGGAACCGGTGTGTCAAATCGTAATGATTTGTGGAAGGCTTTTCTTTGTGCTGTATTTTAACAAGTATTTTTACCATCCTTGCAACATCTATTTCTTTCCTAATTTAGAACACAAAACAGATGGAGGACAACTGTCGATTTGAACTGAAAGTGTAATAGGCCATTGAGTCATTTTGGGGGGTTTTGAAAAAATCAAAGACAAAGACGCTGTCACAGACGCTACACACCTTGCTCAGGGCCAAAACTTGCACCTCCCCTCGACACCCCAAGGATACCAGAGGAAGGAAAAAGTAAAAAGTAAAGTAAAGAAAAAGAGCGCCCCTTTAATCAGAACCAAGACTTGGACACTTCATATTTTTCAAATTAACATTATATTGGAAGGAAATAACGAAATAGAATGACCTCTGTGGTCTCAGATGCCTCTCGACGTGTTTATTCAAAATCTGTTTTACTTGGATACTCACAGTAATTGACGTGAGCAAATATTATTTTGAACGACGCTGACAATATTTTCTCTCTGCTTGCAGTACCCACCGGCCCCAGCGTACCCATCAGGAGGTGTTGGGCCAATCTACAACCCGGTGAGAAATATGGGGTATTGTTTGACATCAAGCATTTGTTTGTCAAAATAGATTTAGTGAAATCGAAGAAACCGACATTTTTTTTCCGCATGTCGGGCAATTTGTATTTAATTGCTTATAACCTTTTAATTCCATTTAAAAACAAGTTTCTTGAGGATATTACTTTAAAATATTGATCAAAGGCACGGAAAAAGGAAATTTTCTGTTTCTAAAGACTCTAAGATGTTGGAAGTCACCTAATTTTGGCGGCCATTTTCTTGTTAATTTTAACTCTGACACCAAGTGACCCCTACCTCCTATCACAATTATCTCGACTTCTATTCAAGGCAGATTGGTATTTTATCATCAAACGCAAGGCAAATGAATATGCTTTTAGATGATGCCAATAACTCTGAATGTCCCCAAAATCGACAAGCACCTGATTCCACCACATTCTGACACAAAAAAATCAGGACTGCTGTTTTTGTATGGTTTGTGAGACAAATGGAAGAATGCAGACTTGCTGTGTAAGTTATGATAATTATTTGCAATGACAAAGAGAAAGGGGAATATTGTCTGCCAGTTGTAACTAGAAGTCTTGTCTTGTACTTGTTTCAAGCTTTCTTTACGACAGTAAAAGCTAAGCTGTATTTTTTAGCCTATAACAATTTACAATTACAATTTTTGCAACTGTATATAATGATTGAGGCATCGTGGTGACATCAGGCGCTCGTCAAAATCAGGAAATTGAAGAGAAGGGCATTTTTCTTCCCCTTTGGCAATTTTTATAGATTTTTTTGTGTTTTGCTCAGTACTTTTAATGTCCATTTAAAAACAATTTACTGTGTTACAATTTTACTTTAAAAACGTTGATTTAAGATACAAAGACTGTAAATTTACAGTTTCCAAGGACTCTTGAGCTTTGGAAGTCACCAGACTTTGGTGACAATTTTCTCTATAATTTTACCTGTGAAACCAGGTGACCCCCACCTATTTCAATCCAAAATATCTCGACTTCTATTGAAGATAGAAGGGTAATTTTTTCATTGAAAAAAAGACAGATGAACAAGTTTTGAGATGACCAATAACCCCATATGCCCCAAAAAGTGACAAGCATCTGATTCCACCGCGTCGTGACACATATCGTTACTACTTTTTCAGCCAGTGCCATTCACCACAGCCATCCCTGGAGGCGTGTACCCCGGGAAAATCATCTACATCACAGGAATACCTAACCCTAACCCTAGCCGGTATGTGGCATGTGTAGTGTGTGAGGGGTGTCCGACAAGTCCTAACCCTGACTATGAAGGAAGTGAGCTAGAAAGTTGAAATTTGACACCCACATTGGTGTACTTCTGAAAAGAGTCAATCTGAAAATTGACACAGTTTTGATATTTTGTTTGACCTTCAAAAGTCCTTGAGCTTGTTATGACTTTAAATTAGACTAAAACCATTCCTCCACTGCGTATATAAACCCTGATCTTTATCACTATGGAAACGTCCTTTGAGAATTTGTTTTCAGATTTGGCAGAAGGAAAAAGTTGAAGGATGAATTAAAAATGTGGGTGGGGAAGAAATTTATTTACGCCTCTGCTTCGCTGTCTGTGTTGTCCTCACGGCTCTGTGCACTGGAGCATTGTCATGCAGCAGGAGGAAGTTTTCCCACAGCTTCCCTCGTATTCTGTTTTGTTTTAGTAAGGTTTTACGGCGCTCGCAACTGCATATAAAGTCATATGAGTGCCATTTCCTTGTATTCAAGAAGTACCTTCTTTAAAAGTGCTCTCAAGCTCAAACCATGCAACAGAACTTTCCAAGACTTCACATGCAGTGTTCTAGAAACATAATAATTATGAATCGCATACTGCAAATGTCATTGTTGAACAAGAATTCCTTCATAGTCAGGGGAAATAGACTTCTTGTACACCCCTAGTAAAATGTTAGTGAGACAATTTCACCGCATTTTGTTCTTCTGATTTATGGTGACCATAGATGGCTGCTTATCATCGTAAAGAGGTGTTTTATAATGTGTGTATTACATGAGAATATGTTGCCTCTGAATAAATAAAATCAAAAGTTCTTGAACTTAAATTTGAGGGTTTAACTTGCTGAAAGTTGGGCTAGAAAGGTTTTTTCATTAGCTGGCTTCACCAGAAGCAAGTATGCATGTTTATAGGCCTTTAGTGAAATTGTGGTGGTATGAGGACTGCTAAAAAAACAAAAGAATTGTAACTTTATCCTAATCCTGAGTTGTTTTTCTTTTACGAGCACTTTCTGTTGTGCAAAGCATTTTGAAGTGAGGAGATGTGTTGTTTGTAAAGGCCAAACAATTCTAAAATTTTCTATGAGGGAAATAATTTTCTGTAAAGAATTTTGTGCTACAAATGGTCTCTTTTAAGGACCTACGGTCTAACCCAGGTTTCGGGTGTTTTCAGAAATCTTGACCTTCACCAAAAGTGGGCATATTGCCCTACCTATAGGAGAAGTTTGGTTTCATTGGTGTGTATATTTGTTTGGTTATAGAGAAAACTCTCTTTGTCTTTTAAAGGAACTGAACAAGGGTCCAGAAACTTTACCTTCGATTTTCTCGAAACAGCATTTTTCGGGATAGCCCCCCCTTGTGCTTAAAAGCGACCAAATTCAAGACAAACCGACTCAACCTTTGCGTTCACCGCTTATGTTTTTTCCCCCCTCCAGTTTCACAGTAAACATCATGTGTGGACCATCAGAAGGCTACGACATTTCCCTGCACTGTGACGTTCGCTTCAATTACGGAAATGACTACAACATGGTGATTCGTACACACATGCAGGGAGGCAACTACGGGCCGGAGGAGAAGCATCAGAACTACTTCCCCTTTGTTCCCAACGCCAGTTTTGAGATGATGATTTTGGTGGAACAAAACGGCTTCAAGGTAAATGTTCTAGTTGTGTGTAGTTTTGACAATAGTTTTTCAGCTCACACAACTCCTCTAGGTCATATAAGTGCAGAAGATTAGAGATATTACTAGGGACATAGGAAGAAAAGTGTTGTTAGTGTCAAAGACAGACCTCTCAAGTCAGTTTAGTTTTAGTTTTAGAAGAGGTTTTACGGTGCTCGCAACTGCATAAGGTCATATGAGCGCTAGAAGATTAGAGGTGTTACAAGAGAGTAACAAACAAAAAAGAAGAAGGGGAGATAAAGACGATAGATGTTTGATAGGAAAGAAGGAGGAAATCACACCAGAGCAACCGCCAACCACCCACTCTCAAGTCTGTGAATGTCCCACATTCAGGTATCAGCGATAGGGAACTGTGTTTGGTTTCTGTTGTCAGATCCCTATTCTTTCCGATGCTTCACGTTTGAGACGGTCAGATTGTGGAAGTTTAAAACTGGCGACAGGAACAGATTAATAAAGCACATGAATACAGACATTTCAGTCGTTTTTAAACCTGGCTTGTGGTCAGTAGTCAGAATGAAGATAGATATATAACAAAAATGAATGCTGGTCATGAAGATTATTAAGTTTAAATTCTAACAGATGTCAAAATTGTCAAGGAGCAAAGCTGTTGGAAACAGGGGGCTGGGGTCTTACCCAATCACAGTGTCGTAATAATGCTAGGATGTACAATAAACACAAGATGGGGGGGGAGAATGGGAAGTGGCCGTTTTTACCTGTAGGTGATTGTCTTATACAGGTCGTGTTTAAAGGAAGTCGGTGTGTGGTTGGCGGGTCTCTGGTGTGGTTGACTCCTTCTTTCCCATCTAACATCTATCGTCTTTATCTCTCCTCTTTCTTTTTTTGTGTTTGTTACTCTCTTGTAACACCTCTAATCTTCAGCACTTATATGACCTTATTGTGTCGCAAGTGCCGTAAAACTCTTACTGAAACTAAAAACTAAGAGCAAGTCGGACTGTAACTGTCTTTTCTTTCTCGGTTTCAGATTGCAGTAAACAATCAGCACTTCACCGAAATGTACCATCGCATCCAGCCAATCCAGCGAGCTACGCATGTGAGTGTCAATGGAGACCTGCGACTGTCTCAGGTTCGCTTCCAGTGATTCTGTCAGTGCCTGAGACCTCCAATCCTTGATTTCACCAAAGATTGTTCATTTGTTATACTGGGAGAGGACTCCCAAATGCAAGATGCGACAGATTCACACAAAGGCAGACACCGCTGGGTGCGTGTTTGTCAAGGCTTTAACTTTAAACTGCACCAACCAAATAACGTCACCAGAAAGTGAGAAAATGCAACAGATGGTTTTTCTCTTTGGAGTTTTGTTTTAACTGTTTTTGTATTAAAAATGTCTTTCTTTGGAGATTAAAAAAATCGTTAAAGGCTTCTAGTCTTTTGTCATGCCCCATGCTGTCATTTCAAGATTCATTTTGATTTCTCAAAGGATTGTCAAAAAACTGTTGTCAGTGGAGAAATGTAAGAGGACACGGGGTAGTAGTTGGGTTCTTCTTTTTTTTTTTTTTTGAAGTTAATCGTGACTTTTTTGTCTTTATTAATTTCATTAGACTTGTTAAAAACGTTTCATATTTCCTGTCTGTGATTGCACCATGTTGTTGTTTCATGCAAACTTTTGTCATAAACATACACATACTACACATACCAGTACTTACTTCCATTGACAAGGATCATATTTCTTTAGCAATTGTCTCTTGTTCTGCTTTGTGTGTGTCAGTCGTAGACTACTTCATAAGTTGCTGGATTCACTTAACGCATTTCTCAGTAAGAATGCTGTGTACTCATTTTTGTAGTAGCTATGCACATTTTGGAGGCTCATATTTTGAGTTGAATACATACCTTTGTTGTTGTCATGTATCTGATCTTATAGATCTATTTTTGTTAGTTACAGATTGGTCACTTTTTATAAGGATATTAGTACACAACATTTATATATATATATATATATATATAGCGTTCAACCCTGAGCAAAGAACCCATGCTTTCAATACTTTCATGTGACATGACAATCGTAGCCTGCTTTTTCCTGAAGCTGTAACCTCACTGTGACCCCCGTCATGTGCTGGGAAACATGCACAAGGTCAAGCTCTTTCGAAGTAGGGGGGCTTTACTTTACTTTTACCAGAAGCTGTAACCTCACTGTGACCCCCGTGATGTGCTGGGAAACATGCACTAGGTCAAGCTCTTTCGAAGAAGGGGGGCTTTACTTTACTTTTACCAGAAGCTGCAAAGTGAGGGAAGAACGAACCGGGACTGAAGGGCAAACATGGTTCAGAGGTCAAGTTTTCTGATTCGCGGTGCTGTGCATCTTGAGGCACATTATGTGAGAGATATAGATATATATATATATGTGTGTATGTGTACTGATACAAAGCCATTGCTCAAATCAAAACCCTTTCTTGAAGCTATAGTCACTCTTTCCTGTGACACTGAGGAATGGAAGAATGCGAGGCTTACACTGGTGTATATATTTATAACATTTGTCTGTTGTGAATCAAAGTCGATTCCATTGTCAAGATGCACTGAAAGCTGGCAATGTAAGAGGATGAATAAAATGTTGTTGACTTAACGTGAGGCTTTTGTTTTTTTAGTAGTTTAGTAAGAGTTTTACAGCATTCGCAACTGCATAAAGTCATATGAGCGTGCGAAACAAGTTAGTTTTATTTGCAACAGTTCACTGCACGGCCTGATTTTGGTCAATGTTTCTAACTAAAATGTTAAAAGGCTAAATATTTGAGGTAGATAAATTCTTTTTATATTTATTCAAAATAACTTTTTAAATAACTTTTAAAAATTTAGCTACGTTTTTTCGTGAATCTTTTGTGACCAGAGGTGGTTCTACAGGTTTTGAGAATATAATGATTGTGATTATTTTATGCCCTGATCAACCTAGATTAGATCATTCAGGAGGCGGGCTACTTCAACCCTGCTAGTTATCAGGGATTAACCAGGCCATAGTCAGATATAACATCCCAGCAGACAGACAGGCTGTGGAATCAACCATTGCTTGGAACCGCCAGCATCTACACACTATGAGATGTGCTTCTTCAGGCAGGGGACGGAGCGCTTATGGGAATGCCCCTTGTGCAGTGATGTCGGTCTTTCACACAAGTAACTAGTGCATGTAATAAATATCCCAGCTGCTGACAAACAGATCTACAGATGAACCTGTCTAAGACAACCATCCATTGAGATGGAGGGAAATGGTCGTCTTAAGCAGTCTGTCCTCTTGGACTGTGTCGCCTTAATAATATGTGTCATGATGCAGTGGAATCAGGCGCTCGTCAATTTTTGGGCATGTGGGGTTATTGGTATCACCTGAAAGCTTATTCATTTGCCTTGCTTTTTTTTTCAAAAATACCTATTTATCTTCTAGTCGATATATTTGTCGTTGAAAGAGGTGGGGTAGCATGGTTTCAGGGTAAAATTAGCGAGAAAATGGCCGCCAAAGTATGGTAACTTCTATAGCATAAGAGTCCCTGGAAACTGATTACTTACAGATTTGGTGCCATTAAACAATGTTTTCCAGTAAAATTCCCGTGGAAATGGGTTTTTATATGAATAAAAAAAGGTACACCCCCCCCCCCCAAAAAAAAATAATTCAATAATAACTGACAAGCTGGAGAAAAAATACCTGTTTCTTCGATTTTATCATTTTGACAAGTACCTGATTCCACAACAATGCGTCACATATATATAGAGAGAAAAAAACGTCACAGGGTAATGACCAGTGGTCGTTTTTACAGGTGTTTGTCTTAAACAGGTGATCATAAGAGCAGATTCGATATATACACTTAGAATTCCAAAGATGATGATGATGAATGATGATGATGACAATGTAGATAATTTTATAGAGGGCCTACTCCCGCATACACATAGCTCTAGGATAAACCCAAGTACAAAAAAATGACTGCAAATAAATATATATAAGCTCATATGAATGAAGAAATTACATAGATGTACACACACACACACACACACACACACACACACACACACACACACACACACACATACGTACGTGTGTCAGTTATATTGTGTGTCACAGAGAGAGAGGGTGTGTGTGTGTGTGTGTGTGTGTGTGTCAAAGAGAGAGAGAGAGAGGGGGGGTAGTAGGTGTATGTGTGTGTGTGTCAGAGTAAGAAAGAGAGTGTGTGCGTAAGTGTATGTGTGTGTGTGTGTTTGTGTTTGTGTTCATGTGCGTGCATGTAGGTGTTTGTGTGTGTGTGTGTCTGTCTGTCCCTCAGTTTGGGCACCAGTAGAGCTGGTTTCGCTAAGGCCGCTGTTTACTTTTCCCCTCTTCAACTTCAAAGGATAGGGAGTTGAGAGTAGTGAGGTTTGTGACGTCATTCTAACCGACAGTCATGACGTGCGTAAGTCACCCACGCCACTCACAGAACATAATAATATACGTGGGTGGTTGGCGGGTGCTGTGGTGTGGTTTGCTTCTCCTTTCTTATCAAACATCTACCGTCCTTATCTCCCCCTTCTTCTTTTTTATGTTTGCTACTCTCTTGTAACACCTCTATTCTTCTGGCGCTCATATGACCGTATGCAGTTGCGAGCGCCGTAAAACCTCTACTAAAACAAACAAACAGAACATAATATATACGAGGGGCATATCAATTTAAGTTGTTGGGTTTTTTTTTACCTGACCATGAAGGAATAAAAGTAGAAAGCTGAAATTTAGTTCTAACCTTAATCTGTCTCTACGTAGTCGCCTCCTATAGTTATACATTTTTGCCATGTGTGTATGACCTTGAAAATACCTTAAGAATAGAAGACCCTCCATTTGTCAGAAAACCAGCCCTCTGCCGCTTTTTTGACATCATCACTTTCACAATGTCTTTCTTTGAAATCCTTTTTCAGTTTGGGGAATTTTTTAAAAGTCGGACGGGGCTAAATCTGGAGAATAGAGTGGATGGGGCAAAATTTCATAGCCACTTTCTCTCGCAGTTTCTTCCCCTTTTCTTGAAATGTGTGCTGGTGCGTTGTCGTCAAGCAGCAAAATGCCTTTTCGGATCTTTCCTCTGCGTTTTTCTTTTACAGCCTCTCGTAATATTTTAGCCGGTTAGAATAATGGTCTCCGGTGATCGTATGTCCATTTCCAAGATAGTCTGTCATAACCACTCCAAAAAAAAAAACAACTTACAGCATCACTTTTCCACATGCACTTTGCCTTCTTTGGTGTAGGAGACAAGGACAATTTCCGCTGCATTGATGCAGATTTTGACTCAGGATTGTAGTGGTGGACCTATGTCTCATCCATGGTTACAAGTCTTTCAAGAAAATTAGTTTCATCCTTTTCATACAGACAGAGCAATTCTTGACAACAATCCACACGTTGCGCTTTTTGAGGAAGAGTCAACAAACGTGGGACCCCTTTCGCACAAACCTTGGTCATGTTCAAATGTTCATTTAAGTTTCGTTCAACTGATCAGATGCTAAGGCTAGTTTTTTTGCTCAGACGTTCAACTGTCACCCGCCTATCAGACAACACAAGTTTCTTGATTTTCAACACGTTCTCTTCTGTTGTTGCTGTCACTGGGCGACCTTCACGGTGGTCATCTTCAATGTCCATGAATCCACATTTGAATTTTTTACACTAAAATCTTATCGCAGCCTAGGATGGGCAATCAGTTCCTTATATACGGCATGCATCTCCGTAAAAATGTCCTACAGTTGATGGCCTTGCAAGAACAAAAACTTTATTACTGCCCTGTGCTCAATTTTCTTCATGTTTATATTGAAACTGGAGAACAACACCCCCCCCATTCACTCACAGTGCGCTGGTGGTAAACCAGAAATCGGAAATCCCCCAAAATGTACATGCAATCTTGGAATGTTAAGATGATTGTTGGCCTTCACCCCAAGTTTCAGCTTTCTACCTTTATCCCTTCATGGTCAGGTAAAAAAAACACTTTTGGTATGCCTCTCGTACTTTGTGGTAAAAAGATACGACCATCTCAGTACATGTTTGTCTGTGTTTATGTACATGTATTTTTTTCTTGGTAAGTGTTTTACGGCGCTCGCAACTCTGTAAGGTCATATTATGAGCGCACTAGACACCTTAAACATTTTCAGTTGGTAGGGAATTTTGAATTTTGTCCGGGTAGAGGCCGAGGCCTGCTCTTATCAATTTAAGACCACTAAGGGACCTCCGAGATTTTTCGCCCTGGTCCGAGAAGGCTGTGGGTAGATCTTTCAAGCCAGAAGATCAGGGGTGTGGCTGAAAGACAACCGTAAGAAGGGGCCAAGGAGTAATAGTAGAAAGGCTGCAGAAAGAGTCGGGAGCCCAGAGGAGGGAGCAAAGGGGGTGAGGGAGTGGGGGAAGAAAGAGGAGACGAAAGCAGACGACAGAACATCGCTAGAGAGCAGGAACGGAGGTGAAAGGAGACAATTTTAGAGAAGAAAATTTGTCCGTCGTTACCCGGATTCGAACCATGGAAATTTGAATGAGAGGCGAACACCTTAACCTCTAGGCCACGAGAGCCCCATGTGCATAATATGTACGTGGTGGTAAAGGTGGTATACTTTGATCTAAGACAACCTAAGGAGAGAAGGAAGGGGGAGGGGGGCATTGGCCGGACGCAAACCGTCATCTGTCCGGAATTGACCTAAAGGTCGGAGGTCACTGACCCCTGGCCTATATCACATCGATGGAGGACTTCTCACCTGTCAGAGGGAGAGTCGTCGAACCTTGCACGTACGCCCAGGTGAAACGAGCGCAGTTTGTACCAAACAACTCTTCAAATTTTAGGCCAAAGCTAATCAGTGCTGATAAAGCTCAATTAATTGTGAGATGCATTTCGAAATAGCGAGGGAGATTGAGCGAGGCGAGCAAAATCCATTGTGTCAGCGTCTAGATCTATCTCTCTGAAAGCTCATGTTGTCGTCATTTTGAGTAGCAAACACGGGTGATGAACTGAGATCTTTTATTTCTTATCAATATTTTATGGCGTAGGAGATGCTTGTGTGTTCCTATGTAGGGTGTTGGCGACTTTCCAATCGGCCAATAAAAATATTATATGAGTCCGCTCTTTTAACCCACGTGAAACGCCCCCTTTGTCTGCGGGGGGGGGGGGTAGTTTTTAGTTTTAGTAGAGGTTTTACGGCGCTCGCAACTGCGTAAGGTCATATGAGCGCCAAGCGGTGGATGTCAACAGAGAAGTCCAAACAGGAAATCAGGCTTACTCTGCTCATCTCTCTATCTTCAACAGCACAAAGTCTGTTTCGACTATCAATCAAGGCACCCTGGAAATAGCGGGTCACAAGAGAGTGACAAAGATGCAAAAGAAGTAGAGGGGAAATGACGATAGTAAGGATGAAAAAAGAAAAAGCAGCAGTTCCCCCATGTTGTTTCGATGAAACCAAAATCATTGGATGAGGGAGAGAGGGGTATTTAAATTGCTGGGAGTTTGGGGAGGTTACGGTAGATTCAGGCGTGTATAGGAATATTGAAGCTGAAGGTCGTAGTGGTCATAGCCATAGCTGTGTAAGTAGCGATGGCTTACTCTTTGGCGATTTTTATCTTCTAAGGCATCTTTAGCGTGTACAACGTCTCTATCG